ATGATGGTAATTTAGTACATACAACTTAAAATCCTTTTAAATCATGTGGTAAAACAAGTTGGAGCAACTTCATTTTTTGAGTAATCAACTTAAAAACTTGTGTTCATGCTACCAATTATTAAGTAAGTGGTAATTAAAAACACCTCTGATTGTAGAGGAAAAGCCTTCTCCTCTAACTCAAATAACTTTGTTGCTTTCAGACAATTTCATTAGAAGTTGTCTTAACTCAATAAACATCGATGCAAACTGTTGCGTTGATTTTCTTTGTTGAGCCAAGGCATTTGTTTTTAGAGTGCAGGCTTCTCCAACAGTGCAACACAATATTACAGAAAAACTGAAAAATATGGTGCAAGTAAATATTAAAAGTAAATGCAAAAAGAAAGGAATAGTTTAAAAAAAGTGAAATAGTGAAACAAGAGTCTATATGCAAGCTATTGGAATGATATATTAGGTAAATAGATAAATGATTACTAAGTAGCAGAATGTTATCAATCAATCAATGTTTATTTATATAGCCCAATATCACAAATGTTACATTTGTCTCAGTGGACTTTACAGTTTGTACAAAATATCAGTATGACAATACGACACCCTCTGTCCTTAGACCCTCACATCGTACAAGGAAAAACTTCCAGAGAAAACCCACAGTTTAAAGGGGAACATGGGAGAAACCTCAGGGAGAGCAACAGAGGAGGGATCCCTCTCCCAGGACGGACAGACGTGCAATAGATGCCGTGTGTAAATGGATGGATGTTGTTTCAGCAGTTCAGGTGTTTAACAGTCTTATTGTGGGATGAAGCTGTCTCTGAATCTGGTGGTTTTAGTCCTGATGCTGTGGTAACGCCTGCCAGACGGCAGCAGACAGAATAGTTTGTGGCTGGGGTGATGGGGGTCTTTGATAATCCTGAGGGCTTTCTTCCTGAGCCGCTGGTAGTAGAGGTCCTCCATGGAGGGCAGCTCCGTCCTGGTGATGTTCTGTGCAGTTTTCACTACACTCTGTAAAGCCTTACGATTGAGGGCGATGAAGCCAGTCAGGATGCTCTCTATGGTGCACCTGTAGAAGGTCAGGATCCTCTCTAGGGTGCACCTGTAGAAGGTCAGGATGCTCTCTATGGTGCACCTGTAGAAGGTCAGGATGCTCTCTATGGTGCACCTGTAGAAGGTCAGGATCCCTCTCTATGGTGCACCTGTAGAAGGTCAGGATCCTCCTCTATGGTGCACCTGTAGAAGGTCAGGATGCTCTCTATGGTGCACCTGTAGAAGGTCAGGATGCTCTCTATGGTGCACCTGTAGAAGGTCAGGGTGCTCTCTATGGTGCACCTGTAGAAGGTCAGGAGTCCTCTCTATGGTGCACCTGTAGAAGGTCAGGATCCTCTCTATGGAGCACCTGTAGAAGGTCAGGATGCTCTCTATGGTGCACCTGTAGAAGGTCAGGATGCTCTCTATGGTGCACCTGTAGAAGGTCAGGATGTTCTCTATGGTGCACCTGTAGAAGGTCAGGATGCTCTCTATGGTGCACCTGTAGAAGGTCAGGATGCTCTCTATGGTGCACCTGTAGAAGGTCAGGATCCTCTCTATGGTGCACCTGTAGAAGGTCAGGATCCTCTCTATGGAGCACCTGTAGAAGGTCAGGATGCTCTCTATGGTGCATCTGTAGGAGGTCAGGATGCTCTCTATGGTGCACCTGTAGAAGTTGCAGAGTATCCTGGAGTCCATGTTGAACCTCCTCAGCCTGCGGAGGAAGAAGAGCCGCTGTTGAGCTGTTTTGGTGATGGGGGGTGGTGTGAAGAGTCCATGTCAGGTACTCAGTGATGTGGACACTGAGGAACCTGAAGCTGCTGACTCTCTCCACCATAGTCCCATTGACGGTGATGGGGGCGTGTCCCTCTCCCTGCTGCTTCCTGTAATCCACAATCAGCTCCTTGGTTTTGCTGACGTTGAGATGGAGGTTGTTATCCTGGCACCAAGATGTCAGGTTTTCGACCTCTCTGTACGCCGTCTCATCGCCGTCTGTGATCTGGCCGATGGCGGTCGTGTCGTCAGCTAACTTCACGATGATGTTGGAGCTGTGTATGGCCACGCAGTCGTGAGTGAACAGGGAGTGTTGTCCCTAAGGCACCCTCTCCTTGAGAAGGAAGACATTGTACGTTGTTGCAGGTTTTTAGGGATGAAGCGAGAACCGGAGGCAGGGGTTTTAGGTGTGGCCATGAACCTTTTTTTTGTGAGTTTCCTGGCAAAAAGAACAAGATTATGGTCAGAAAGACCAGTCAGGAAGTTGTAGGTTTTAATTATTCTGTCAGCTTTGTTTGTAAATAATAAATCTATCATGTCCAGCTTCTAATATCTGCCCTCTAAATCTCATGTGTCTTCTCCTCTAAGATAAAGTCACAAAACAGGGGACACATTTAAATTGCACGCCCCATCTGCATTCATTTACCAAAACCCCATCAGCTCTCCATGGATGGAAGTGCTCTGCTGACGTCAGTGAGCGGCTAGACAACTCATTATCTTGTCAGCTGAAGCAGGCTAAACTGCATGTTATCCAACACGTGTGTCACTTCTGTCCGTTCAGATGCCTGTTTTTACTCGTCAATACTTCTACTAATAACATTATTTGTAAGCTACAGGAGGAAGCTTGTTTACCTTGACTGCCAGCTGCTGCCTCTTCAGCGGCTGATAGGAAAAGGAGTATTTCTGATATTTCCCCACAATTTCCACTTGTTATAATAGAAAACATGAGACCTTGACCTTGTTTTTTTATGTAAAAAGTATTCTTGTATTCTGTAGTACACATGCAAATACAGAATGGTCGAGAAATAAAATGTTTTTCATGGTGACTGAAGATAATAAAGCCATTTACATTTTTATCTAAGAATATAACAACACTGAATGCAATGTCCTTCATATTAATCTATTAAAGAAATACATGAGATTTAAAGTGACTTTTAAGAGAATTTGTTAGAAAAAATGCATTTTGTTTTGATATACAGACCAGAGGCTATAAGAGTATGAAAAAGACTGCTAATATCATCCAAGACATCCAACAGTGAGTGCCTATACTAGCTGTTGATTCAGAGGTGGTATATTTGTGGTTCTATTCTAAGGCCTTTCTTTGGATAGCATGAATGTAATGTAAAAATACACCCTGCAGGGTTAAGAATGACAAAAGGCCTTGGCCAGCTGCTAGAAGAGGAATAGGACCCTTTACTGGTCCCCTAGAGGGAATTCAGTTCAGAACTTCACTGTGTGGCATGGTCTGTGCTGTTTTCCTGTGATGCGAATTCTGACATAGTTTGCTGTTTTGCTGCAGCATTTTGTGGCACGCTTGGAAAAAACAACAATTGATTCACAGAAACCAGATGTTTTTAATATCGGTCCAAACTAGAAAAGCATGGCTGTTTTGCTACAGTTGTTACAGCTCAGCAGATTAGTGTTATGGAGATATTTTCCCTTTGTGTCTTGGCACAGAAATGACATCTTATCTGAGTCCAAATGAATGCATTAGTCACCATGCCGGAATGCTCTGGCTGTATAGAAACAAGGGAGACATCTTCAGTTAGACTTTGGGCTGGGGCGCAGATGAGGGCATATGTAACATAACGAAGCTGTGAAACTTAACAAGACATAAATTAGCACTTCATTTACATATTCTAAGGTTGCAGTAAAATGCGTATACGAATGAATAATGTTACGAATAAATGATTAATGGTGAATGCTCTTGATTTGGCAAATGAAGCCGCCCAGAATCAGAAGGTCTTTATGGTTTCGTTATCCAGAAGTAACCAATCGATTCACTGGTCAGCCTGTCTGTTTTAATCCAGATGTTGCACAGGCCAGACACACAGTCCACTATAGTTTTGTTTTATAGAAACTATCAAACGATGTTCTTTAAACCATCAGCTACATGTTAGATGCAAGCAATTAGGACCAGAGGTGGAAGAAGTACTCAGATCTTGTACTTAAGTAAAAGTAGAAGTATCAGAGTGTAGGAATACTCTGAAGTAAAAGTCCTGGACACTGAAAACATTTCAAATTGTCTTTAATAAAATGTCAACAGATTTAACATAACTGTATTACGTTAGTTGAAAGCAATAATATTAAGTTGAACCTAATATTTTTATTTAAACTTACATAAAATTACTGCTTTCAACTAAACTAATACATTATGTGTAATTTGTTGACATAATAAATGTAATTAAAGTCAACGTTTCTATTTTTTCAGTGTACTATTCAAAATGTTACTCAAGTAAGTACAAAAGTATTGGTATCTAAAAATACTTACTTAAGTACCAAAAGTGCAGATCGTCCCATTTCACAATCATATGTATTACGTGTTTTATTTTAAATATTTATGCATGGTGGGTTCGTCAAGCTGGTGAAAGTGGAGCTATTTTTTTTATCTACTGCAAGGTTGTGAATTTTACCCAGGTGTAACTAAATTCTTGTAGATCATAGATTTTAATAATTATCTATAACTGCAAAGTAAATAAAAGGTAGCCTATTACACAGATTTAGTGGAGTAAAATATTTACCTCTGAATTGTAGAGGAGAATAAGTATAGAGTAGCAATTGAAATACTCGATTAAAGTACAGTACCTCAAAATTCTAAACAAGTACAGTACTTGAGTACTTAGTTACAACACCATAGGACCATGCACCAGAGATAGTTTCAGACCAGTGGCCACCCGTGTTTTTGTCCAACCACACAACAATGTAATGTAAACTATAACTATACAAATAAAAAGATTGAGTGCAATTTCTTTTAAAAAGTAAGGATTTAGGGTGACATATTTAATTTTGCAGCATTTGTTTTCGTATTTGGTCATTACACAAATCACAAGGGCTCTGACCCTGTGTCCCCTTGGCGATTACGCGCTCCAAAACGTGCACACTTAGCCCATGATCTAAGTGTCCTATGTGTCTGAAGGCTGGACTCATGTTCCTCAGATCCCTGCACTAGCTGACACGTTCCCACTGAAATGCAAAATTAAAAAAAAAAAAAATGGAGCCGATAACTTTAACAGCAGGGTAGGAAGAGGGGAAAAAACCGTCTGGCATCAGTCGATATTAAAAACATGCAGAGGGAGACAAGCTCGGGGCCTTCCAGAGTCAGGAAAAAGACTTCGGAGAGCTGCAGACAGGAGATGGGTATGGCATTTCTATTTCCCCCCAGCCCATTGATTTGTTTATGAAAACATAGCGCTTTTATTCTCCCCCCTTCTGGGCTCTGCTTCTGAGTGATCAGCTGATGAAGAGACTAGCAGCTCGCCGCTATGCTGGCTTGCTAATTCTCTCCCCAACAGCTGCAGCCGATCCTGGTAGCCAGCCTGCACATTGCACTCAGGTAAATATGCTCCTCCATGTCTTTCCTCTCAAGATTCAGCCAGGCTACATCGCATGGGAAAGAGAGGAAGAGATGGATGAAATGTGTGTTTGAATGTGTGTGTGTGTGTGTGTGTGTGTGTGTGTGTGTGTGTGTGTGTGTGTGTGTGTGTGTGTGTGTGTGTGTTGTGTGTGTGTGTGCGTGCGTGTGTGTGCGCGCGCGCTCGCTGGCTTGGGAAAGGAGAGTGAGTTTATTCCTGTCTGTCTTTCTGTCTGTCTGTGTGTGAGTGAGAGCAGGGGGAGAGAGGGGGTGTGTGTGTGTTGTAACAGATGAGAGGGAATCTTTGCCAGATAAGTCTGGAAAGAGGCAGGCTTGTTATAGGAGATAGCATGGAGCAGCACATGCACACACACACATGCACAGTCAATGAGGCGGCTCAGCTGTGTTATACATCTTTTAGGATTACCCTCCATCCCTCCAGTGTTCCTGTGAACGACTGCAGCCCTTCAGAGGGAGCAGCGGGGCTTTTAAAGCCTTCATTTGAGCCGAGCGATGATGAACAGGATTTCTATTGTTACTCAATCCTCTGCCATGTATTTTTGGTCAGGATGTGCATCATGCATTTTGTCACCATCAGTTCTATTGTTTGAAGCTGTTGTAATTATTATAGTTCTGTACAGTGCTGCTCCTCAGTGCAAAATACAATCTTCCAACATGCTTTAATCTTTGTCCTTGAGAAAAATGATTTCCTCCAAGTGCATGCTTTATTATAGGATGTAAATGTTGGTGTGCTTGTACTGTATGAGACTGGATGATTGATGCATCAATGTGCTGTTTGGATTGGACAGCATGCCTTCTGTAATTCCTCCTCCTCTGCACTCCAGCCGGGCTGCTGCTGAGCTGCTGCATGCATACTCATGTTGCGGGTCTCTAATTGCCTTTGTGAAAAATACAGTGGTTGCAGCAGATATTTTGAAAAGGGGTGATGAAATGGTTGAAAACAACTCGGCATGCAGCAGACATCAAAAGGCACACCGAACATTTTGTTTCTATTTCATATTTTGATATTTTGTGAAGAACCAGGAAAAATATTGTTTATTTACTGCATTTTTACTATTTGTGGTGGCATAACATGGCTCCTTATAATGCATTCACATTTGATGTTCATCAAAAAAAAATACTGCCTTCCCTCGATAATCATCTGACATCAAAGCCTCCAGAAAAAATTATCTGTCCTAAATTTGCAGAGACAGCACAGCAGTTGGGTCGCCCCAGTCCATGCACGTTTGTGTGCTATTGTGTTAAATAAATTAAACGCTCTTTAATTTAAATACAAATGTACTTCTGGATGCTTGAACTCCATGTACTGCTTATTTGCCGGAGAATGTTAGCTATGCCCCCTCTTAGTCGATTTGTTGACTAGTTGGTTTTTGTCTTAGTTGCTCGACATGTCTTGGTTGATATGTTTTTTTTATATGCTGAATAACTTTACGAGTATGTCTCTGGTTAACTTGAGATTAATGTAATTGTGGAGAAACTCAGTTTTACAGATTTGTTCAAGTCAACAAAATGGTATAAGTGTTTTTTGAAGGACTTCAATTCTATAGATTGCTGTCAAAAGTGCTTCAGTTTTTCTAAAAGATCAATTTATTTTCAAAAATAAATACAGTGTTTAGCAGTTTCTGAGCATCCCAACTGTCACATGAAAATCACAGGTGGAGTTCAACTGAATGGGAACGGTACAGCTTTGAATGGAAATCTATCACAGTTCTCCCTTTTCATGTTTTCATTGTTCATGTAATGTTAGGTGCAACCTGATTAACAAAGGGAGCACATATAGGCTTTGTGTGTACAACATAAACAGTAACATTTGCCTTACTCTCCCGCTATAAGTTTGTCTGAGTGTGTTGGATGTGGCTTCCTCTCCCTGCAGCCTGAGGCAGCAGAGAACGGTTCCCTGGAGGCGATGGAGGAGGACATCAGTCTAAAGAAGCGTAAAAGTGATCATCATGGGGAGACAGACCTGCAGGCCGGGCAGGAAACAGGGGAAACGGTCAAAAGGAAGCGAGGACGCCCACCTGCTGAGAAACTACCTCCGAACCCTCCTGAACTCACCAGAACTCTGAGCACTCTGGTAGACATGGTCATCAACTACAAGGACGGGTGAGGGCGCTCAGTTATTTACGGACTCTGTCATGACACTGTGATGCAACTACATGTAAGTCCAAACGCATCAACTAGCTGTCCCTGAAATCCTCAAACCCAGGGCCTGATCATTTGACCAGGTGTGAAAACAACATCATGACCCATACATTCATTTATTCATTTCAATATAAACATGAATTTATTATGTATTCATCCCAAAATGCTAAAGAAAAGCTTATGTTTTACTTTTTTTATATTTACATTTTTTTAAAAATCAGATTTATTTGACTTGTCTGTAAAATGGACTATAGTAATAAGATGCAATAATTGCCATGAAACACTGTTTCAAAGTAGTGCTTTGAGCTAACCGTAGCATGTTAGCATGCTAGCATTTGCTAATTCCATTTCAATCAAACACTGACAAGAGAATCAGATAAATTAAATGAAAAGTGAACTGTCACATTGTGCTTCCAGCTTGGGTCGACAGATCAGCAAAGGCTTTGTGCAGCTCCCCTCTAAGAAGGAGGTCCCAGAGTACTACGAGCTGATCCGGAAGCCTGTGGACTTCAGGAGGATCAGGGTAGGTGTCCCTGAACGCCTCACAACTCACACACAGACATCCCTGCTATCTTATCTTCTAACAGAAACTCACATAAAGGGAGATGAAACTCGAGCAGATATACAATGCATCAAAAGACAGGTGTGTGCATGGAATATTCAAACACTTCTTCAGTAAATACTGATTGAGAGAATGATTTCAAAAGTTGTAAGAGATAGTGTGATGCCAATACATTCTGAATCGTCTTTCAATTTGAAGAAAAACTTTAGAGTAGTTTGCACTGAAACTTTTATGAATGTATTATATTTCACATATATATATATTTAAATACCCATTGGGTTATCCAACTAGGTATCCTCTGAGTTAAAATATGAATACCAACATTACATTTTTAAATTGTAGGCTTGACTAAATTGTTGCAGGACCAAGAAACAAACCTTGCAACACTGAAAACATCGTTTCCAAAGAATTGTAGCTTTTTTAAAATTCTTCTTGCAGTGTCATAAAATGCTATTTGTGTGTGGGAGAAAAAAACGTTTAAAAAAGCAGAAACGCAAAAAACAAGTTTCTTTAAAAGAAAAAACCTGTGTTTGTGTTTGGACTTTGAGATGCTGGTAGGCAGATTCATTTTGACCTTTGGAAAGTGCCATTTAGCTGTTTCCCTCTTCTTCTTGATGCTCAGCAGGTGGTGCTAACCTTAACATTAAGTGTACAGTTATGAAAGTGGTTCTGATCTCATCAATTATCTCTTGGTAAAAAACGATTTAAGCTACTTGCTTGAGGAAAATACCATCTCGACAAATGCTTATTAAAGGCTTGATTGAACAGTTGAAGCTGAAAAGTGATTTCTTGTTTTGATGCCTCTGCCTCACAGGAACGTGTGCGTAATCACAAGTACAGAAGTGTGGTGGATTTGGAGAAGGACGTCTTCCTCCTGTGTCACAATGCTCAGACCTATAACCTGGAGGGATCTCAGGTGATAACAATAGAAACATTTATATTTGAATGCAACACAATTATTGTTCTCAGTCTCCATTCTGTTATTGTTCTAATAATGGTTTTGGATCCTGTGAAGAACCACCCACGCTGTTTATGTGTCTCTGTTTACCACTGCAGATCTATGAGGATTCCATTGTCATTAAGTCTGTTTTTGAGAGTGCGAGACAGCGAATTGTCACAGACGAGGAACAGAAAGTGACGGTTAGCGCCAGTCACAGCGATAATGGCGGCGGAGCTGAAGACCAATTTGTTCCATCAGCAGGTTAGAGTTAAAGGACAAACATCAGGAGGGGTGCTTAGGTTTCTTAGAAGTGACTAAATGGAAGAAAACGAAAGATGAGGACATTCATTTTCTGGTTAAAAAAGGGAATATTTGTAATTAATTCACGTTAAAAATACTGATCCTGTTTTTGTTTTTTTAACCAGTGAAACCATTTCCAGTCCGGCTGAAGAAGGGGAATAAAGAGGAAAGACGCAGAAACGACATGGCCAAGAGGCTTCACAGTGATTTAGACAGCGATGAGGATCTAGAGGATAGCTCCACAAAAGATGAAGGTTGAACTGAAGGACCCTCAATTTTTTTGTATTGTTGTTCATATTTATTCCCTACCACGTCCTTTTCATTGGTTTCTTCATTATCTGAGACAGAAAAGGAAATGATATAGCAGAAAGGACCACTCAAAGAGAGCCACTTATGGAACAATGCGATGTATTCTCATGCCACTCAACCATGTCTTGCTGCAAATAGTGCTGTTCTTTTCAGTTAGCTGGCCTTTTACTACACTTCCCCTTTTATCTGCCTTATGTCTCTGTGTTTGCTTCTGAAAATATTATGTAAGATACCCGTTTTCTCTGACTGTTTTTAATCAATATATTTGATTGTATGAAATGCCTTCATATGTCTTGGAGCATGGTTTGTATGTCTCTTCTGAAGAGGACTCCTGCAGCGTAGCACCGCTGATGACAATGCTGACATGTTCAAGGCTTGGGAGTTGAAGCACACGGAAAGGTGTTTTTAAAGAAAAACAATGAAAAATGAACACTGTAAAATCTCTGAATGTGATTTTAGAGATAATACATCTTTGATCAAATGTAAAAAAAAAATGAAAGAGACTACAAATAGGTCTATTCAAGAGTACTCAAGTCGAACATTTGTATCCCTTGTGCTACAGTTTATTCACATATTGTACAGTTTGTGTGACAATTAAGTTAAAAGAAACAACGTTCATTTACTCCTGGTTGTTGGGGGGGGGGGGGGGGGGGGATAGTGGAAGATACAATTGTTAAGACAATTCCTGGAAATATGTCAATTAAACATCTTCAAAATAAATTTGACCAAAAGCCCCTCTGGTTGGCTATCAATATCATTACTATTATTACATTTCCTTTTAGCTGAAGCTTTTATAAGTATAGTCATTATAGCATTTGTGTATAATCAATCCAGCACAGGAAGTAGTGATAAAAGCATGAAAGAGAGATGCTAAAGGCTATTATTTAATCAAATACAGCATTCCACCTCCACATTAAAGCAGGATGTACAGGTAAGTATATTACCTATTGTGTGTGATGTGTTTTGACAATGGTCCAATAGGTGGTGCAAGAGAACTGTTTGGTTGTACCTGTATTTGTTCCATATTTTCCTTAAAAACATTCATATTTAACAATTCAACCATTTTAACAATTTCTGTATTTACCCATCCTCTGAACTTCATTTTCTATATGTTAGCTGCAGTAATTGACAAAAGTTCAATATGTTTTGTAGAGCATTTGCAGGTACGAAAAAGTCATACCTAACCCTAAACCAGAAAATGTGAGGCACAAATGATACACAAGTATCCCCCCTGTATCAGAACATCAGAACATTACCAACCGGAACTAAATTGGCATAGCATGTTATTTTAATTTGATTATCACCCCCACAGATGGTATGATCTGTGTTCTACCCAGCCTGCCATCAAATGGTTCCATCTTTCTAATAACAGGAGGAGTTTTCTCTACACAAATCCTGACATGGAGGAAAGACATGAACATCAATACATTTCATAAGCTGCTAGAACCCTTGCAAATTGTGCTCCAGCACTCAAATTGTTAATTAATGTTTAATGATGGGCGCTCTCATGACAGCGTGTTATTTCACAAGTGAAATCTCAATCCGTGCCCTACCACCCCTTAATGGTTTTTACCTCAAAACACAAGTGATCATGTGTAGGTGACTCACCTTCTCCAATTCATGAGCTGTAACTTGCATGTCAAATTGAAAACCTGTCTGCAGGTCAATTTATATGTGAAAAGGTGTGTAGCTGTACTGATAAGCAATTGAATACCACGCTTTCCTCCTTATTTTTATTTATTTATTTTCAATACAAGGAAAATATAAAATCCTAATTCTTGAATTATTATTAGGGGATACGGGGTAGGTATGCTTATCAGGGAAATCTAATTCAAACCGTAAGAACTGCCAATTTACACACCCAGCGGACACATTGGAGTCATCTTTCTGGCTCCAATGTTCACAGAGTAGAGGTGGCATGCAATCACCTTTTCTGAGCGTGTTTGTGAGTGGCGTCCCACAGTTTTACATTAACTCGCAGATTTTCAGCTGAACATCTGCAGAGAGCTGCAGTCTGTGCTGGTTCTCTGTGGGATTCTCAGTTAATGCCAACCTTTTACACTTCAGGGAGTGACTTCAGTCAGTGTTAATATCAGAAATATCCCTCATTGGAGCTTCAAACTGCTGTTGATTCAGTTGTTGCTAAGTTGCTGAGCCCATAGCTGTGGCGAATATTCGTACATTTTCCTCCCTACTTATCTGCGATTTGTACTTCATTCTTCGGCAGTAATAATGAAAATGTGTGCTAATGCTGAAAAAGTGTTCTTGTGAATATTGTTATATGGGTATCAGTAATCGTTTTGAGAACCCCACATCCATTTGCAGTCAAATATCATAATATGCAGTCAAATATCAGTATGTACTGCAGGCACAGTGGAGGGCATCTGTAAACAAGGGTGAGTTGCAACATGGTGTGATTGCATTCAAATTCAGAGTCATTCTGCCTCTAGCATATTCATTCATTTCAGTGCTAGGATATGACTATCAAATACAATAAGCCATAGAGGCACAAGAACACTGTGATTTACAGCAGTATGTTTTTTTGTTGATTTATATGATAGCGTGTCTGAACTCACAAAATGGCATTTTGTTAACATGAGAGGAGTTTGTCAAGCTTAAGACTGCACTGAAAAAACTGAAACGTTGACTTTAATTAAATGTATTATGGCAAGATGTTCCACATAATTGTATTAGGTCAGTTGAAAGCAATACTATTACGTTTGAATAAAGAATATTTGGGTCAACTTAATATTATTGCTTTCAACTATATCATAATACAAGTATGTGGAATCTGTTGACATAATGCATTTCATTAAAGTCAACGTTTTAGTTATTTCAGTGTAGGTGTGAACACAAGTCAAGTATAATCAAGTATTCTGAATCTCACAAATCGCTTTTTCACCTAAAATAAATTGCCATATTTTTCACAGAACGTTGTGTGAAATAGTTAGAACATCTTACAAAGATGGCAAGTAACTGCAGTGATCCCTGACTTATCATCTAATGCTAGCATGATTTGACATTTTTGGTCAAATTAATCAACAATTGTAATATAGTTTACCATGAAAATCTAATTGTGCCACTGACGTTTCAAACTTTATAATTTAAAGAAACTAAAACTCTCAACATCTACTGAGTGGACCCGCAGAACATACTGTATTGACATTCATGGGTTCCAGACGATGACTCCAACTGAGTATACCATTACTTTCTTTAATGCCTAGTATTTACTTGATTGTCATGACGTAGTCCAGACTTTCAAATCCTTGACCTGTTTTTTCATCTAGCACCATCCTTGTGTTGTAAAAAGATGAATTTGTTCACAAAGACTCACAAACCTAGCCCCAGTTGTAAGCCACTCTGCATTTAGTGCTAATTAGCAAATGCTAGCATGTTGACCAGTAAACTAAAGGCAAAATGGTATACATTATGAGTTCTAAATATTAACTTCATCATTGTGAGGATCTTTGCATGCTAACATTAGCATTTAGCCTATAGTATTCTTGAAAGTGAGCAAATACTTTCTGTAAGATGAACATTAGACAGACAAATTATTTTTAAATTATGTTCTCCCAGTGATTACAAGAATAATCAATAGAGAAAATACTCTTATCTGAATTGCTACCTAGTTCATTTATACATCTACATATATATACAGGATATATATATATATATATATATATATATATATATATATTAAAATCACACATCAAGCACCTTAAAGCTCATGAGAATATTCCTCATCAACCCCCCTCAATATCTCCGATCTTATAAAAGCTTCCATCATCTTATTAAGTAAAGTAACCAATTTGCTGCGGTGTTCCCAAGGTAGAACAAGATAATGACAACTAAATCAATCAATTCCCGGTATTGAGATACCCTTACTCATCATTTAATGAAGTGTCAGAAGTAAAAAGCTCCTCACAGAGATTAACAATGTCTATGGGGCGGCTAAAAGGTGCTTTTACAGTGAACAGCTCAGGAAAACAAAGTGGATGAGAATCACACATCCAATGACACGTAAACCTAATGGAGGGGCAGGGATAGACATATTGCTGAAGGCAGATAGACTAATGGTTTGGAGATTAGTGGGCCCAGAAGGTGACTTTAATCTGTTGAGACGACAATCCATTTTCTTTACCCATAGGAAACAGATTTAATAGATGGATAGTTTATCACAGCCTTCGCTAATCACCTGTAATATCAGTTGATCACATTCGGCCTCATTGCTCATTTACTCAGTCTTGGTAGGAAATTGTCAACACTTGTCTTTGATTTTATGCTTCATTTGCCTGACAGGGTGGGTCATTTTGAATTTCTCATGATGTTTAAAAGTGTCCCTCACTGAGGATGATTCCAGCTGTTTAATAAAAAACTTACTCAGAGTTGGTGTCAGTGCCTGAGTTCTGACAAGTTCGTTTGTAAAGGTCATTCAAATACAGCAGCTGAAATGTGTTAAAAGAAAATAAAAGTTACTTGGAGACGCATCTCACAAGTTCCTTCACAATGTACAATTCTCTTTTGACGATAAGGAAATGTTTATGAAGGGGTTTTTGATTTACTTTACTTTGCTTGCAAGGAAAGTAGAAAAATCCTCTGTGGTGCCGGTTACCCTGTGGAAATGTGTATTTAAATATGAACTCTAGCTGGGTTTCAGAATGCAGAGTACAGCCCCAATCAGAACAGATTGGATGGAGAAAATGAGATAGCAAAGAAGTCTCAAAAGGCCCAAAAGATCAGAACCTCTGGCTGGCAATGTCTGCTGTCTCCCGATCGGAGAGGGAATAATAATAATAATAATCCGTGCATTTTATCCATTAATTTCCCCAACATTGTGGTGAAAAAAACCACACGTTTAATCCATGTTGGTGTACTACAACTACAAAAAGCATCGGGTGGTTTTCTCAGGAAATGCAGACCGGCACAAACAAACGATTTTTAATCATCATTCTCACGATCATTTAATGTATCATATGTTCGCCGAATTGACATGAAAGCACTAATAAATGTAGTTTCATCCACTTGAGTTTACAACTACAAAAATAATCGATTTGTTTTTATATCACATCCTACGGGAGGAAATTCAGCAGCTCTCACTACCGATTTGTAATCCTAATGTAATCATCATCTTCACCACGATCATGTATGTTTATGTTCACCGAATTGACATGAAAGCACTGACAAATATGAATATACTGTAGTCAACTTCATTAAAACGTTATTAACGTGCCTAAACTCAGTAATTCACCAATTATACGCATGACAACACACTTTGTCCGTGTTTGGCTCTCTCGCCGCACAGTGAAGCGTTCCCGCATTGACGTCACTTCCGGCTTCCCCCAAAACTTCAAAATGAGTCGAAGGAATTTCCCCGTGATGTTCGAAATTATTGATATTTAACGGAACGGTATCGCTTTCTCTTTTTTAAACTGACGGTTCGAGATTACTAGTAGACCAATATTTCATTGCACAACAGTTGTTGGGATGCTGTCACAGGCTCTTTAAGTCAGGGAAGGATCAGAAATCCCTGGGTGCGTAGTTCTCCACCTCTCTTAAACCCTCAAGGAAGGGCGTTGTCACACTCTGATTGACCGAAAGGGCAAATGCACCAAGCTGTTTTCATT